GCTTTGCTAAGATCTATAAAAATACCTAATGTATATTCTTTTTTATTAAAGGCTCCAAAAATATCATGAACAAAATTAAGAATAGCATAATCAGTTGAATGACCTTTTTTGAAACCAAATTGTTTGTTGTATAAAATATTATTTGTTTCTAGAAAAGAGAATAGTTTATTATACATTATTTGTTCCAGTATTTTAGAGAAGCAAGAAAGAATGGAAATAGGTATATAATTAGAGACATAATAAGAACCATCCGATTTAAAAACCGGTATAACTCTTGCAGTTTTAAAACTTTCTGAAAATATTCCTTGATTTAAAGAAAGATTAAAAATATGCAACAGTGGTGTTATTAAATAATGCATAGACTTTATTACAACATTACTGCTTATTTCATCAACTCCTAATCCTTTGTTTAGTTTTAATGTTTGAAAAGCAATTAATAACTCAGTTTTAGTCATTTTATTGTTGGTCATAATTGTATTGTTAGCAGTTAAATGTGACTCTACAATAAATTTACCAGTTTTTAGTTTTAAGGCTAAATTTGATCCTACGCTAACAAAAACTGGATTAAATACTTTTGCAATTTTTGATTCATTAAGTATATCAACGCCATTAAAGTTTATTATTTTTGGAAGACAAGTAGTTGATAACTTTTTTTTATTAAGTCAATCTTTAATGACATTCCAGCCTTTGAGTTTTGTAATTGATTTCAATAATATAATTTCTTTGAACGATTTATAACTAGCTCAAAAATACCTTTATATCTTTTATACTTGGATTCATTATCTAATGTTCTTTTTTTAAGAAATTTTTCGTACAAACGTTTGTTTTTTGATGATTTTAATATTCCGGTAGTTATCCATGGGTTCAAATATATTTTAGATTTAATATTTTTTGTTATCTCTGGAAATGCATTATTGTAATGTTTTGAAATATTTGAAGAAAATTGTGATAAGCTTTGTTAGTGCTTTTTATTTGTAAAATATTTTCCCAGTTTTTAGAAGATAAAGATTGATTAAAAAGTTAATTAGAAACGTCATTAATGATTCGCTTAGTTAGTTTTACTTTTTGTGATTTTTTTGAAAGATTGCATTTTTGAGTTGCAATAAAAATTGGAAAATGATCCGATATATCGGATATAAATATTCCAGTTTTAACTTTTGTGTCTGTAAATTTGTTTGTTATAGTTTGATTAATCGAGGTTGCACTATTTTTCGTAATTTTAGTTGGTTTATTTATGGTTGGAATAAATCCATTTTGAAATACTAAAGTTTTTATTTGAGTCATTCTAATATATTTAAATTCAAATCACCCACAAGGTAAACGCATTTACTACAAACATCTTTACTTGTAATTAAATTTTTTATGTGTTAATCAAATATTTTAATACTACCTGAGAGCGGTCTATATAAAACATGCACAATTACGTTTTTGGTAGTTTTACTAAATATTTCAATTGTCAATGACTCGCAATCATTACATGCTGTACAGTAATCACTTCACGGTTTATAAATTAATGAATGTGGATAAAGATGCATACTCCACCACCTAGTTTTTTAGAGTTTCTAAGTTGATGAACTACTTTATAATTTTTTAACTGAAAATTTGAATTGTTTTTAATTTCAGTATTGCGACACCATGTTTCTGTGAGGCAAATAAGTTTAAACTCCGTTTTTGTGCTGAGTAAAAAATATTTAAATTTCTCAAAATTTTCTTGAATGCTTCTAATATTTAAATGTAGGATTGAGAATGCATCTATATCTATTTCAGGATTTGAAGTATTTAAGTTGTAATATAATGGACTTAAGTTTTTGATTTCATCGCTACAACAATAAAAATTAATATCTGGATCTCTAGAAGTATATTTTTGTTTACTTGAAAAGATTTAAATCGTGAATTTTGATAAAAATTTATAGTTTTATGCATTATAAATAAAAAAGTATAAAGACCAAAAAACATATTAAATTAAAATGATTAAGTTTTAGCGTTCTGATTTTTTCGAAATTCTTTTACTATTAGTTTATCGTAAATAACAATCAAGTACATATCGTTGTTCCTGTTGACTTTAATTTCTTCAAGTAACTTTTTCCGTATCACCGTTGTATCGAAGGAATAATCCTCGTTTATGTAAATATTCTTTCCTTTGAGTTTGTGTGAGTTTTTTAATATTTGAATCTTATCTTTATAATTGAATAACTTCATTACTATACTAGGTTGGTTGAAAAGTTCGCGGAGCGGCACCTATGTTGCAGTAGTAGAAACAAATTTATAACTGTATTAAACGTATTCATTCTTCGTATGAACGCATAAAAAATTTCAAGTCGATATGTCATTTCAGTCTTTGTTTACAAGCTATTGAAATTAGACGTGTCATAGTATTTTTTAAAATGGAAAATATTGAACATCGTGCTGTAATAAAATTCTTTGTGAAAAAAGGTTTAAAGCCCATGGAAATTCATAATGAAATGGTAAATGTGTTGGGTGATGATGCTCCTTAAAAAACAACAGTATGCAAATGGGCTGCGGAGTTTCAACGTGGGCGTTCAAGCCTTGAAGATGACCCTCGCTCTGGACGTCCAAAAAGTGCTACTACTGAAGAAACGATTAATGCTGTGCATGACATGGTTATGGATGATAGACGATTGACCAAACGTGAAATTGCTGAGGCTGTGGGCATCTCAGATGAACGGGTATTACACATCTTGCACGATGAATTACGTCTGAGAAAGCTGTTGGCAAGATGGGTGCCGCATTCGCTAACTCTGGATCAGAAACGCACTCGAGTAAAACTTTCTCAAGAACATTTGGCCCGTTTTCAAAAGAATAAAACAGATTTTGTGCGTCGATTCGTAACCATGGATGAGACTTGGGTTTACCACTATGATCCGAAGCTGCGACAACAAACTGCAGAGTGGACAGAACCCGGTTGTTCAGCTCCGAAGCAAGTGAAGGCGTCAAAATCGTCAAAGAAGGTTATGGCATCAGTTTTTTGGGATGCGAAAGGAATTTTATTAATAGATTACCTTCAAACCGGTAAAACGATAACAGGTGAATATTATAAAAATCTTTTGGACCAGTTGGATAAAAAAATTCGTGAGAAAAGACCTGGTTTGCTGCATAAAAAAATCATTTATCACCAGGACAACGCACCTGCTCATATCAGCGATGTTGCAAAGGCGAAATTGGTCGAATTAAAGTACGAACGCTTGGAACATCCACCCTATTCACCAGATCTGGCTCCGTCCGACTTCCACCTCTTTCCACATCTCAAAAAATTTCTACGTGGAAAGCGTTTCTCATCACATGAAGAAGTCATTGCAGCCGTAAATGGGTATTTTGAAGGCCTTCCGGAATCGCACTTCAGAGATGGGATACATGAATTGGAGAATCGTTCGAAAAAGTGTATTGCTCTTAAGGGAGAATATACTGAAGAATAAAGTCATTTTTTGAATCATAAAATTGTTTTTTCATTTCCGCTCCGCGAACTTTTCAACCAACCTAGTAGTTCTTGGATTTTTTGAATTTATCTTTCCTGTTCTGCGTTCTCGTTCAATAGTAACTCTTTATCTTGAGATTGTTTTCAAATACTTTAATGACTTTTAATTCGGTTTCCTCCCAGCTCTCCGATTCGTACTCTTTAAGTCCATCAAGTCGTAGATTGTTTCTTCTTTGCCGGTCTTATAACTGTCTAATTTTATTTTTTTCTGTTTTGTTTTGCATTTTTTCCTCTAGGTCATGATCTTTCTTATCTTGAATATCTTTGGAAAAATTAAAACTCTCTTCAATATCTCTTTGAGCACATTCATATTTTTTTTTAGTCGTTCGTTGACATTTTCAAGTTCTACTTTCCCTGATTTGTTTTCATTAAACAGAGTTTTATTTCAATCTTATTAAAACTTTTAACCAAGTGGTGGTTGTACAAGTTATACAACAACCACTTGGTTACACGTTGTACAAGAATCAGAAGCAAGTGGTTTAAACAGTATATTTAATTCATCGACATAAGTGATGGATAAAACACTTTGCAAAAAATGGAAATACTTTTAATATAGGGTTACCAAATGTCCAATTTTTACGTAAGAAAGTGTAGTAAAAATCTTTATTTTAATAGGTGTAACACTCACTGTGCTTTCCTACGTAAAATTTACATCAGATCAATTATGAGAATAGAAATAAAATACATAAAGAATACAGTGATAAGAAGAAAGGGAGAGAAGAAAATAAGAGTAGAAACAAAGTGATAAGAAGACTTAATGACTTAATTTTGTAAAAAACTGTCAATTTCCGCACTGAATGATAATGATTAAATTCATAACACGCACAAAAGACCATCATCATCATCAGTTGCCACAATATGAAAAAGATACCAATCCGAAGTAATAATGTACAGGAAGAAAGAATTCGCTAAAGATGTGATTTCTTGAAGCAGAATTTCGGAAGGAAAGTCGTAAATCATTGATAATGAATTTTATATCACTTTGGGTCGCAGCACCATCAATGACAATAATATTTTTTTACTCATGCAACCTTGAACTAACTTCTTGCACCTGTAGAAGTGCAAGTGTAGAAAAACTGCAAATTTTTTTTTAAAAAAGCTTGTTTGGTGTGTATTTTTATAAAGAAAGAACCCGTCAAAACCGTCCGTTGTTCCCAGTAGTATCTTGAAGTTAACTAAAATCTTAACTTGGAGCATTGCATCAAGAAAAGATTACTGCTATTTATTAGAGAATATCACGATGATGATAAATTCTTGTTTTGGCCTAACCTCGCTTTATCGCATTATACCTAAACGTTGACGACATACTTTGAAAATAATTTTACATGTTATCTGACCAAAGGTAATAACTCGCCTAACACAACAGAATGTCGTCCAATTTAGGATTTTTGTAGTATTTTAAAAAGATGGTCTACGCAAAGAGCTGGCAAACCTTAGAGTTGATTCTGAACGTAAGAACTATAGTTTAGCTATACGCCAAACTTTTCGCATTAAATAAACTTAACACTTTATTTTATCACAATATAATTCATTTGACAACTTAATCGACACAAAATATACATATAAAATATTATTAATAATATTAGACTGAGAAAAATATTATTAATAACACGGGAAGAATAAAAATATTAATAATATAAAAATATTTTAAATCTTTAAGACAAATAAGCAAATATATTCATTTAGAGTAATATAAAACTTTAGACGAATAAGAATGATATCTTTTGGATTAATAAAAAAATTTAAATGCTAAGAAGAATAAAACAATATTCAAAAAGTTAAAAATTAAATAAATACTCAAATTATTATAGTAGCTTCATATTTACAAATATACAAACCGTTTCATTGAAATAAAATCTTTTCAAGAATTAACTTGAAAACTGAGCTACAGAAATAATGGATCAACTGCTGGTATTTTCGCAACTTCAAAGAAAACAGGGTGAAGGTATTTATTTCGAATGGTCTGTAATTTACTTTTAGGAGCGTTAGTTACCATTGTATTTAAATTTGTAACTAAAGTAGATAGTTCTTTTTCTTGATATCCTGTGTGATAAGAAAGATTCGCTTCCCAATCACCTTCATCTTTCATTTTTAAAGCTAAACATAAACAAGCAGCAGAAATTTTTGACGAGCGAACGTCAACAAATTGAGCTTCTTGAAGTGACAATTCCAATATATAACGAGCTAAAGTTAGGAGCTGCATGCTCATTGATGTTACCTGCAAATGATTAATTAAATAATTAAGTTTTAAAATAAAAGTGTTACACAATTTTTTATACTAATATAGTGCACACTTAGTTTTTATTATATAAAATTTTTAGTACTTATTTAAGCTCTTTGACAGAGCGTTCACGGTTCTATAGTAAATACTGAGTCTTTTTACTAAGTATATTATGCACAAACCTTTCAAAATTTAAATATGAAAATAAATCAGTTTTGTAATTACCATACATAAACAGGTACAATAAGTAGATTTTTAATTTAAACAGATACATTTATCATTGTCTTAAACAGATACATTTACTATTGTCTTAAACAGATACATTTAACATTGTCTTAAAAGGAGAATTTTACAAGTTGCCTCGAAAAAATCCAACGTTTTATATGAATTAGAAAAAATACATTTTTTTAATTTTTAAAATGTTGAGGAATCTAAATTTAAATCTTTAATATCATTTACAACATTTATGTTATGAAATGTTCTTTTAAAATTTATTTATCATAAAGACTTTTTTTGCAAGAAATACTTTAAATCTGTTTTACAATACATACTTAGCTGCATGAGATTTGTATATTGATACATAGTATATTTTTACCAACTATGCTTTAAAAAAAATTTGAATACTTACTCTTGCATATCTTCTTAAAAAAGAATATGATATTGGTATATTGACGTCAAAATCTAAAGCTTTAAAAATTTTCAATTCCATATTTATAAACATTTTATGTGTATAAGCATCGTCACAAATGTATTGAAAATCATCAAGTGGAGGAGGGTGATGTTCCTAAATAAATAGTACATTTAATAAAACTAAACAATTAAACAAAATGAAGCAATTTAACAAATAGTATAAATTAAGATATTTACTTCTATTTTGCATGCAATTAGCAAAGCTGTAGCACCAACAAGCTGCAATTGTTCCTTAGGAGTTGGATTATTTTGTAAGAAATTATCTACTAATTTGACAGCAAGATATAGAGTTTCATGATAGAGCTCAAAATTCTCTTGAACCTCAACCAGCCAGTCCACTAAAATGGCACGCATAGGACCAGTTGTTTCACAATTTTCTTTAATTAGATAATTAATGACAGGATATTTTGCCTAAAAAAGTTTAAACAAAATCTGCATTTTTTTTCATCTTAAATAGAAATTTATATTTAACTTAAAAATTCATAAAAAAACAAACATAATTTGAACTAAAAAACACTTCTCATAACTAAAATACCATCTTTTACAGATAAGAAGCAGTTTTTCTGGAAAATTGACATTTTATGACAGAACTTTATTTCACAATAAGCAACACGTATATGCTATTATATTATTGCATTTATTGTCAGTTTAACTTTTTGAATATGCCACAAAAAAATGTTAAACATGAAAACATATAATGCATAAGAGCTATATTTAGAATGTAGTTAACATATTTTTTTGTTTCTCATAAAAAGTAAGTTTTCTTGAACCATTAGACCGAAAACAAATAAAAAAAATGTTGTTAATACGTTATTTTCTTATTTTATATTCAACAGAGTAGTTTTTTTAGAATATTTTTGGGCTGCTAGAATCATCCAGAAATTTCTAAAATTTTCCAAAATTATTGTAAAACGTTCAAAAAAAACTTTCAGAAACATTCATGGACTGTCAAATAATAGTTAAACAACTACAAATGCACAAATGATTTAACACTTTGGTTTTGTTATTGCTAAGTAAGAGAATAAAAAATGGTAGACAATGATAAGTTTATCACCTATAACATGAGTGAGTGTGAAATATGAATAGTTCATATTGCAGCTTAAAGCTGTGCTGCTTCACAATAGAAACAACTGCCTGCCTCTTCTTATGGCTGACTGTGCATCTAAAAGAGGACTACACCAGTGTTAAAATCTTTCACAAAGTGTTTTTATTTCCTTTGACTTGGACAACCTTGAAACACAGAAAAGTCAGACAACAATGGAGAGTATTTTCTGTGAGGAATAGCAAGACCAAGGAAAACCCAATTATAAAATTTTGGAAGGTGGTGATGTTCCTGAGTTATTAAATCAAAAAGCCTGAGTTAAAGAATCAAAAAGACTCTACAAAATCAAAAGAATATGAGATGAGAAATCAAAATAATTCTAAAATTTAAACATTTTATATTTGTAAGACTAATTTAAAATATAAAAAAAAAATATATATATATTTGCCGTAAAAACGTAAAAAACAAAAACGAAATGCATACATTAAAAAAGTTTTGAATACTTTAAATTCTTTTAACTGGACTTTGACAACTTTGATCAGTGAATATTTAGTATGTATGTAAGAAGTTTTTTATTAATTAACGACATAAAAGAGAGATAAATGACTTAATTGCATAAATAACTTTTCAAAATTTTAAACCTAACTGTTAGTAAAGTGTTAAAGAAATTAAACAACTTTGTTTTTACAAATAATTTTATATTTTACATAAGTTTAAAATATCTACCTCACGTTTTTTCAAATTTTGGAAAATGCTTTCTGCATATTCTGCCACTAAAAAAGGATCACGTAGTTCTGTATCATATGGTCGAAGACCATCTGGATATTTGTTAATCTAAAATTATATAAATGATACCAATACTAAAAGTAGTAAATCTAAATTATCAAATTTTTAACTTGCTCCATTTATTTTATCTAAAAACTGTTTAAAAGAAATTTGTTTCCTATTTGTAGGCTTTTTAGCAGTTTTCAAAAAACATTCAAAACAATTCAAATATCATATCCTTATATATATATATTTAAACTTATTTCTATAAAATCAGCAAGCAAAAACTAAATAATACAAAGTATTTTAATCAAAATAAAATACAATGTGAACCCAAAAAATTTAAAGCTAAAAATCTGAATAAGTAAAACTAATGCATTTATAAAAGAAAAATTTAACTTGAATTTTTTTTTAAATTTCATACATATAAAATAATAGTCCAAAAAAGTCAATAAATAAATAAGATATCAATTTATGATTTTTCTTTCAAATGAGTTGTTGCAACATTATTTTGCAAACTTATGTTAAATAAATTGATTTCATATGACAGGGTATTTTAAGTACATTTTTTAGTTAGAATTTCACTTATATAATCAAATACTTTTCCAGTCCAAGGTGGTCCATTTAATTGAAATACATTGTTTAATACGTACATAATCACTATAAATTTGGTTTATTATTGGCGGATGTCCGCATTATCTCTAATAATTATTTTTACATGTAATAATTATATTTAATGTATCCAATTTTATGTGGCAAAAATATATGTATTTTATTTTAAATTGTTCTTTATCAATTCATTCTCAGTGAGACTAGATTTATTGTTTTAGTATTTATACATCTTAAAATACTTATTTATAAGATTTTGTAAATGTGTACATGTAATTTATATTTTGTTATGTATTTTGTGGTTAAAACATAAAACATGATATTAATTTTTTTATAATACAAAAAAACTTGAAGTTAACTTCTTAATTAGTCCTAATACTTTGGATACAGATATAAATAGCATGAACTTAACTGCAAATAATAACTTGTCTACTTTCATGAGTCTTTAACAATGGTGCAAATATTTCCAAAAGCTCTAAAATTCATTTCAAAGAGAATAACAAAAAATGACTACAAAATGAACTGATTCTTCCAACTGCTTCTATTGATGAAGATAACGCTGCTCTTATCCTAACTGTAGCATCTGGCAGACCCCAGGTAATTTTTTATACTTCAATTAGTCAAACAAAGAAAAGATGATTGGCACCATTAGTTGCATCTTTTTCATCTTCAGAACTATTAATTACATCAGGTTGTAGTTTGCCCCAAAATGGTTAAAAAAAAGAAGCTGAAACTGTTTTACAATTATCAGATTATAATGAGTTTCGGTTTAAAAAATAATTTTAAACCAAAACTTTTATATTATTATATATAAAAAGGTTAAAGCTTTAGTTTCTTTTTTATATGGATCATGTTGTAGTTTTAAGAAATATAAAATAGAGATCTGGAAATACATAAAAACACCTAAAATTAGTAATTGGCTATTTATTTAATTTTTCAAATGCATAAAATAATTTAAAATTAGACTGCCACATAAATATTAGTCTAGTTTATAACTTTTGTGCTTTAAGAAAGTCACTTAAGTTAGTAACTATGCAAAATGAACCATTGTCAAGCATTTAAGGTATCACTACCAACCAAATAAAAAATCCATAGTGCCACTACATTTGTAGTATAAAAAATACTCAATGTGGTAATTATGAATGTAATCAGATAAATATTTTAGAAGTTAATACTTTTGTCCAGTAAATATTTATTATGGTAATAAAATATGTAGTTGCTAAGTAATTTAGGTATCCATAGCAAAATTAAATCTAATGTCATCAATGAAACAGCAATCCTCAAATTAGTAAACAGTGTAAAAATGGTCCATTAATCTTTTTTTTATATGAAGAGTTATTAAATTTATACAGTAAGAGTGAATTTTAGCCAATTGTGCAGTGATGAAAATAATATCTATACTAGATCTCTGTCAAAAAATCAAGCAAAAAAATTGATATTAAGCCTACACAAGAATCTGTGATTGTCTACTATTGTAGCAAACAAAGTAATTAGCATGATGAATTTGAATTTATTAAAAAAGCAGAACACGATAACCTTATATGATGAGTCTGTAGCAAGATTAATCATATAAATGTAGTACTTATCCATGACTTTAAATTTCTTTTTGTAACAAGTGATGTTTTGGACCTAATACCCTCAAATGTTCTTAATTTGTTGTGCTTGTGGCACATTTGGTGGGTTGTAGTGATGTACCGATATCACTTTTTTGGCCGATGCCGATACCGTTGAATGGGAAAAAGCCGATACCGATGCCGATGAATTAACTAGTTATTAAAAATTTGAAAATATAAAACCATACAACTTTAAATTGGTATTGGTAAACAAATACTTGGACTCAAATCAAGTTAATTAAACCCAAATAATTATTTTTAAAAGATATTAGAAAAACTCAGTTAAAAAAATATATATTTTAATTTTTTAAATAAATATTTCAATTTTTTTCCACTATGAAAAAAAAGCTTTCAAAAAAATAAATACAATTTTAGAGGAACACTTTTTATTTTAATTTAAAAAAAAGAAAATATGCATATGCAGTTTACTAAGAATTCTTTATTAATTTATTAGTAATTCAGATATCTAAACAACAATCATATGTTGTTTAGACATAAATTATTTTTAGATAAAGAAATTGTTTTTAGAATTATTTCAATTTTTAATGTTGGATCCCCACCACGTCCCTGGTAATAAAGCGCTTAACTTGTTTCTACACGCAGCGGCATTGTTCATCAAGGTTTGTGTTTCTGAGTTCTAAAGTTGAAAATAGGTTGTAACCATAACTAAAGTAGAATCTTCAATTGAAGGGAGGTGAATTGAAATAAAAAAATTATCAATTCAGAAATATACTTGATACTTGGCTATACTTAAATTCATGAAATAAGGCTGAACTATTTGCAAAAAAATTCTCTTCTAATCTGGCTTTCGAATCTTATGGCCATTCTCTTCCTTTCATTCTAATTAAACAAGTTAACCTAATGTTAGACATTTGAATCATTTCAGCTTCCATTACTCATAGTCATATCTCGATTAAACTCTTTTATGGCCCTCCGATTATTGTCCAATCAGTCTTCTTTCTGTTATTAGCAAGGTCTTTGATAAACAAATTTCTCACATTCCATCTCGAGTCAAATAACTTACTGTCAGACAAATAACTATTGTAGTACTGTCGACATTCCTCTATTGATGAATGGCAACCCTCTCACTGATTCCACTTCTTTACGTCTTCTTGGATTATCATTTACTATTGACTTTTCATGGAAACCATATATACAATCGATTGCTAAATTAGCATCTGCTAAGGTTGCTTCTTTTTATCATGCTCATCATTTTCTCTCTCCTGATTCCATGCCCTACCTCTACAAATCTCTTATTTATCCCTGTATAGAATACTGTTATCATATTTGGGCTGGTTCTTCTAATGATGCTCTTTCTCTTCAAGATAAGGTTTAAAAACACATTGTAAACAGAGTTGGACCCGGTTTATCTGCAAAGCTTGAGCCTCTTTGCCATCATCGTAAAGTTGTATCTCTTTCTCTTTTCTACAAATATTATCATGGTTGCTGCTCAAAGGAGCTTTCATCTTTAGTTCCATCAATCAAAACTCATTCTTGCTTGACTTGACATTAAAGTCTCATTCTTCGACTGTATCTGTCTCTTCATGCTCCAAAAACGTTTATTTGTCTAGCTTATTTCCACGCACTTCAACCCTTTGGAACTCTGTCCCATATTCATGTTTTCCTGACTCATACAACCTTCAACTTTTTAAATCTTCTGTCAACCATTTCATTGCTCTATAACTCTACTCTTTTTTTCTAGCAACTCCCAACATGATGTGGTTGCTTGAAACCTTATAGGGAGTGAAAAAGAATTAAAAATATATAGAAAACAATGCTTAAATAGGTTACTTTTAAAGCTTTTGTTTGTAAACAAAGTCAAAATAAAAATTTATCCAAAAAATTCTAAGTAATGCACAAAGTTTAGTTAATTTATTATTTAATTATTATAATGCACAGAAAAATAATGCAGGATAAAAATATCGAAGCCATCGGTCGGAAAATCGGTAAAAAAGGCCGATGCCCATACCGATAGTGCAAAAAAATGGCCGATTTAGCCGATGCCGATACTGATTAACCGTTACATCACTAGTGGGTTGGTTAGAGAACTTATAGAGTAATAAGAACTTGCTGATCTAACACTAAAAAAAAAGCCAAAATAAACACTAAAAGTTGACACGATACTTGTGAATGAATGGAAAAAGTTGTGTTTCTAACACAGATTGATGTATTCATTGCTAAAGCCTTGGATGAACGAAAAATGGCTTGAAAATACTACAGTTGAAAACTTCTTTTCACATTAACAGTTTTATTTTTTAAAAACTCTCTTTTCCTACAAAACAAACACTTTTTTAGCATGTTTCTTTGATTTCTGTGTATTATCCAGAAATGACCAGATGTGTGATGACCAAAATTAATTTAAACTTTATCACTTTATGGATAAAGTTTAAAATCAATTTACTTGAATTACGAATTTACTCTAACTACTTAATAAAAAATTTTCAATTAAAAAGTTATACTTCATATGAATCAGTGTTTTTTAAAAGGGCGAATTTGCTCAAAGCAAATTAAGCAAATCCGCCCCTTTGAAAAACACTGATTCATATGTTTGAAATCAATTCTTCAACATCCACTGTGGGTAATTTTTTGGAACAAGAATCTTAAGTTTATTTTAATGAAACATTGGCATGAGGAATATAAGGAAACAATTTTCACAACTTTCATGATTTTTGAACTTTCACTTAAAGATTATGTAGAGTAATAGTAATATATTCTTTTTATTGGGAGCTTCTCTTTTACTATTGGTACCAAAATTCAATGTATGAAATCCTGTTAGTTGTTCACAGGAAATGTGTATGTTCGCACTCCTTGCATGATCACACATGGGAGATTCTTGTGAAAACATCC